GGGAGTAGTGTGGAGGGTTCCCCTGGACCCCATTGAGCTTTCTTGGCTCAATCATCCCTGTTTGGGGCAGGCTCACATCTTTGTGGTTCCCAAGCTCTATGACTAGAGCCAGTGAGAAGACAGGATCAGTGACCCACAACTTTGCGGAGAAACAGCCCCTCTCATTTTAACTTCCCACTAGCTTCGTCTTGCACACCTACATCCCCAAGCCACAAGGTGGGCACACTGGTGCTTACAGACTGGGTAGAGGGTTCTACCTTCCAAGGCCTTGGTCCCAGCCTGCCTGTAAGTTTGAGATTCACATGTGATCCTTTCCTTCCTGATCCTATCTTTTTAAATCTCGAGTTTGCACTTGGCCTTGACAATCAGCACCCTCTCCCATCCCAGTCCTCAAATTTAGTGGTCTTAAAGAATGAGGCCCCCTACATTGAGGGTCCCTGCCTTACTCCTAGTTCCATCCTTGCCAAGGGGCTAGGCCTCAAGAAGTGAGGAAAAGAGGAAGAATTGTTTTTTAGAGTGAAAGGATGGATCAAAGCACGTTGGAGGCAAGTGAGAGGCATGTCAGCAAGACGAGTGATGAGTGTGTGTGTTTTGGGTGGCTGGAGCCTACTGTCCCTTCTCTGGGAAGGAGGCCTCCAGAAGAGGATGTCTTCTAGGCAGGAAAGGTGTGAGAAGGCTGAAAGAGAGTTTGGAGTTTTGTCTTTGTTGATTAGAAGGAAAGAAGAAGTTGATTCTGAGTATTTCAGGGAGAAGAGAGCAGGCAGGAAAGGAATTTAGTGACTCAAAACCCAAGAGTCCAGCCAGAGAGCAGGTTGGAAAATCCTCCAAATTTGGCTATAGAAGCTGGCTAAAATTTACCTTGCCACTCAGGCCACAAGCTTGGTCCCAAGTAGGTCTCAATAAATTGTTGGTCATGGATGTTGTAGAGAAAGAAAATTGCCAGCAACAAACCAATCATAGGGTTTGAAGACCCTGTTCCCAGAATACATACATCCATCTCCAGGTTCCCAGTTAATTCTGCCCACTTTCCTTTGTCTGATCCAGAGCTAGCCTCTCAAGTTATATGGATCGTGAAGTAAGGACCCACCTACCCCAAAATGGATCCTCAGGGTCCAGGCTCCATCAGGGATATTGGAGGAAGGCAAACTCTTATCCTGTTGACCCCACTTAATTCTCAAGTGTCTCTAATGATTCCTGAGGTGGTTCAGTTTGCTGAGTCAGCCACCCTGGCATGAATTAGACCAGGTAAAATGAACATTTGTCTATAGATACACCCTCCCATTTTTAGTGGAACCGAGGCACACTACCCCTAAGAGTTTATGTCAGGGGGGAAAAGGGTAAACAGCCACCATTCTTGAATTTATAACTTGCTCTCTACAAGTTTTCTTTAAATCCAGGACACAGAATGGGAAATGGAATTCCCTGCCAGTTTCTGAGAGGTCTGCAGGAAGGTGACTCCTGGGCAAGGCAGAGTGAGTGGAGGTCCCTGGTGTGTGGGCAGGTGCACTCTAGGGTTGGGCATGCATTGGTGGACGCCTCTGGGGCTCCGGAACTTAGGGGATTCTTTGTGGTGTCCATTCAATCCTTCCCAGCCCTTAGTGGGCTCTGTAGGGCCGGGAAGGGCCCTTCCCCCAGGTTTTCCTTCAGAGAAACTGGAGAAAAAGACATTAAATCCAGTCCAGCTAATTTGAGTGCTGAAATATTTCGAGGATCAATGGTGGTGCTAAACTATCTCCATGTTTCTAGTATTTTTAATAGAGTTGTTGTTGTGTTGTTTTTTTTAATCTCATCACAAAAATGCAGTGTCCTTGGGGAAGGGGACCAGCCCCTTGGCTTGCCACTTTCCAGGTGTCCTTTATCACGTTGACGGGACTCTTTGGTCTGCAGAAAATGTTCTGTCTTGGCATGCTTCTAGTCTGTAAGATTTGAGTTTTTTTGTTTTGTAATTTTTTTATGTTTACATGCATCTTATATTTCCCTGAAAACTAAATAAAGTTTTTGGCCTTTTTAACTGAACAAAATTACCTCTTAATTCTCCTGTCACCAGAAAACCCATATGAAGAGCAAAAGGCCCATTATCCCCCAAACAGCATCGACTCCAGGACCCCAGGGTCCTCCTGAAGGACCCTTAAAGCCTAGAGGAGGTGGGTGAATTCTATTGTTGGTGAGGACTGTGCTCCAGCTCCTCCAGACCCTTGCCACCTCGAGACACTTTCTGGGGAGCAGCAAAGGACCCGCACTCCACAGGCTTGGCTTAGCCCCTTAGCTTGGCCCCTGAATCCAGAAAGCAGGGCAGGGTGGCTCTGGTGCGTGGAATAGATAGAGGCTGGGCAGCCAGAGCATCCTTCCAGGAGATAGGGTGGATAGGCAGGTGTTCACGTGCCTCTGAAACTGGGCCTTACCAGATAAGCACAACCTACACATTATGCCTAGACCTTGGGGCCAGTATGGCTGCTCTTGCCCCCACCCCCAGATTTTCCAACCCTCCAGATGTACTGAGCACATCTGACAGTTTCTCCAAAGTTCTCTATCCAGAGCCCCCTCTCCCAGCTACAAACCCCTATGACGTATGCCACCACCAGTGGGAGTACAGCTGAGCTCCAGCCAGAGGGGAGAGGACAGGCAAGGCCAGGCTCCCAGAGTGTGAGGATCTGCCATACACCTGACAGCCTGTAGGTGGCTCTGCCCACCAGGTTCTCCATGCTCAGCCTGGGGAGGAAGACCAGTACCCAGGATGCCCCACCACACTTTCCAGACCAAGAAACCCTAGGCCACAGGGTAAATTACAAGGCCCACTTGGCTTCCAGCCCCTGCTGCCTGAGTTCCTGTTCATGCTTCAGCTCCACTCCAGAGAGTGTCACCTGATTATCCCAGCCCTCTAAGGCCTTGCCACTGTCCCCATGGGCCTTCCCACACCTCTTGATGGACCCTCCGTGTCGAGGACACCTGACGCTCCACCCCCACAATGTACACCCACCCGCTCATTGCCCTCCCTCCCAGTTCGCCACACGTGCAGTACAGCCCTCAGGCTGGTACGAAATCACCTTTATTCACAATCACAGCCACCCGAGTTCACAGAGGAGGAGCAGCAACCCATGCACTGACAGACAATGGGATGATGGCTTCCTCTCACCGACCTTCAGGCCCTTGTGCTTAAGACCCTTCTTTGCTCCGGGATGGGACCCTGACGGGGTAGAGCTGCTGACCAGCCCCACTCCACTCCCACAGAAGGGACCTCCCAGGGTCAGCGCCAAGGGAGAGAGACCCACAGTGGAACAGTGACTTCCCCAGAGGCCCATTGCTGAGCCAGCACAAAGGCCAAGTCTGGAGTCCACTCACCGCAGACAGCCCCTCACTGAAGAACTCCCAAGAGTCACAAAGTTTCCCCCAATCATTTGACAGAGTTGGGGCTGAGGTTCAGAGGGTCTGTAACCCAGCTAGGGCCACACAAATGGTCAGTGGCCAAATCTAGAACCCCATCCCCTGCCTGTCACAGGGACAAGCAGTCTCTTAAGGACACACACACACACACACACACACACAAAGCCATCTGAGGGGGGCTGGAGAAGACTAGACCAAGACTCAAGCTATCCTAGCCCAGACAGGATGGGCAGGGCTAAGGTGACTGTGACCTAAGAGGAGCTGGGGTGCTCCTTCCCCAGAACCCAGAAGTGCTGAAGCACTTCCCTTCCCTAAACAGGGCCCCAGATCCACCATGACAAGGTCCCCTAGTCCTGTTTCCTGGCCTGCCCTCAGCCTGCCTGGAACTTATGTCCTTGGGGGCCACCTGATGTACCTGAGCCAATCGTGATGACCCAGCCCAGAGCAGAAGAGCACTTTGTAGCTCTGGGTAATCTACTAGCCCCAAGGAACTAAGGAGGTTCAGTTTGCCCCTCTGTAAAATGGATACAACTTGCCAAGAGGCCTCCCACTTTGACGCCTTTTTATGGAGTTCCCATCCATGGTGAACAGAGCTGGCTATGAGACTGTGGCTGGAGTCTGGAGAAGAAATGAGTGCTGACTACCTCCGCTATTGTTCCCTCTTGCCAAGCACCCCACACACCAGGACAGCATTCCCAGGGAATGGGAACGCACCCACAAACAACCCAAAAACCAAATAAATAAATAAATAAAGGAAAAAGGGTGGTCTCAGCCCAGGGAAGCCCCTCACCCCAACCCAAGGATAATGGGATGATGGCTTCCTCTCCTCCCCTTCTGATCCAGGGCCCTGGCCCCTCCCAGGCATTCTGCAGCTTCTGAGAATCAGCCCAGGCCCAGGACAGTGCTGAGATGTGGGAGGACAGGTGAGAGAAGGTAGCTGCACACCTGTTCTTAGAGACCTTGACAGAACACAGCCCACATCAAAGGGCTACCTCCAGGCCCTGACTAGGGCAGGATCCCAGAAAGGGATCCTCCTCCTCTCAACCAGAGCTGAAGCCAGGAACCCAGAGCCTGGAGTCCTCTACAGCATGTCCCTCCACCCATCTGGGTGAGTGGGAGAGAAGATCCACCAGCTTTCTCACCCCTAGCTGCCAGGCCCAGTGGGCAGGGAAGAAAGAAAAGGGAAGGTAGGTATAGGTCAGAGCAGCTCAGGAGGTACCTGCCCAGGGCAGGGCTGCAGCTGAGCAGCTTGTGCTCTGCTCAAGGGCAGCTGGCTGAGGGAGCAAACAGAGGCGAAAGCCTAGTCCATACTCCACTAGCCAAGCCACAAGCCCTGGCTCAGGGTTCCATCTGTCCCCAAAAAGGTACACATTTTCTAATTCTCACAGAGGTGCCTCGTAGAAATCTGCCCCAGATGGACAAGGATTAGAACAGGCTGAGACCCCAACTTAGCCCCTCAGCATGCAGGAAAGAGCTGGGTGCAAGAAGGGAAAGAGAGGGAAAATTCAGCCTCTTCCCTTCCCCTCTGCCCCCCACCTCCCTGCCTTCTCCCCTTAGACCTTCAGGGGCCTCAGTTTCCTATGTTTAATAGAGAAGAAAAAAGTTTCCAAAATGGGGAAGAGAAAGGGCCCTGCTGGGCGTGCGGGATGAGCCGCCACCGTGGGCTAGGAGCTGCGGTAGGTCTTGATGATGTCCTTGATGGGGCGGCGACAGATGGGGCAACAGGCGTGCAAGGCCTTCTTGAGACGCAGGCCACAGGCGTAGCAGAGGCACATGTGACCACATGTGTAGATGACCGTATCCACCGCGTGTTCATAGCAGATGGTGCACTCATCGCTCCACTGGCCCAGGCCTGGGGTCAATGGCGACTCAGGCAGGCTTACTGGTGAGTTGGGAGTTGTCCCTGGGGGTGAGGGGTCATTGTCAGGAGGAGACACGGCCAAGCCCAGTGCTGAGTTCATGGGAAGGGTGACCACCAGCCTCTTGGTGCCCCCTCCATTTATCAGAACCTGTCTACCCTGAGGATCCAGCTTCCTAGGTACAAGAGAAGAGGCTGATCTCTGGGCAGCCCCACTTCTAGCCTACCCAGTCCCAGACTAGGGGCCTTAGTGGCTACAAGGCAGAGGAAAGGAAGGAGAGATGGAGGAAGGAAGGGGGCCCCAAATCTTTTAAAGCAGGTCACTCCCGAGCTGCCCCTCAGCACTGCCCAGATAGGGAACAGAATGGGATATACCCAGAAATCTGTACCCAATGAGGGTTCACTGAGCCCAGCTCTGGCTCTTCTCCAGCCCTGACCCTGTCACAGAAGCTGCATCCTCACCTCCAGCTGACACAGTCACCAAGGAACAGAAGGTGCCAGCGTGCTTACCACCAGCAGAGCTCCCCAGAGGTCCAGAGCTGCATGTGCTGAGCAAGGGGTCGGAGAGGCGGCTGCCCAGGGCGCTGGGCGAGGTTGGTGTGGAGGCAGGGGAACAGGGAAGTGATGGGACACCCCGCTCTGCCAGGATGGTGGAACCTGCAAAAGGGAAGGGAGAGAAGACACACTAGCCACCCAGAGGCCTAATTCAAGAAAGCTCCACCCCTCACAGTCAATGGCTTCCCAGGGCTCTGACCACACAGCATAGACACCAGGTTGAGCACAGGATTTCACAGGCTGCCTTGGCACCCAACTCAGTCCCTGTTCTCACCACCAGATGAGAGGGCCGCATCCTCCTGGGTCGTGCTACCTTAAGAGTCTCCATACTGGCCCCTGACTAGAACCCCCTGCCTACCTCTCCCCAGGCATCCTCTTCCTTCAAAGGTTCCCAGACTAAAGAATAAAGTCACCAACTCCCCCCACATCTCACGCTCCTGTTCAGTGCTCTGTATCACTGTCCCCAGATAGTGCCCATCTTCTCTGCATGGTACCTCTGAAATGCCTTCACCTTCTCTCACACTTGTTCTGTTCCTACATTCATTATTTCCCTCCCCACTTCCCACACACCTCTCCTTCCACTCCTCACCTTACCTCCTTCTTCCCCTCCTTGCCCCCTTCTCCCTTCATCAAATCCTTCCTGAGGGCCCACCAGCTGCCGGGCACTATGCATGCATAAAGCTGGGAACAGAGCCCTTATCTCAAGGTATTTCTTGGGGCTGTCTTCAAACCCCTTCCTCTCGGCTGCCTCGACTGCCCCCCAGGCTACAATACTTGATCTAGCACTGACAGGCACATACACCACAGCCAGAGGACTAAATAACCATAAAGCCCAGAGTATTATTTGTTCTCTGCCCACAAATCCAGCTTTTGTCTCTAGGTAAGCTCAGATTTACCAGGAGCTTTCTGAGAACAGGAAATCTTATCTGCAACCCTCCTGCAGGCCTACACCTAATGCTCTGTACATACGTAGGTACTCAATAAAATCTTTATTTATTATTCATTATTAGTTCTAACTCATTTAATAGAGTTGTTATTTCTAAGAATATGCAATAGATGCCCATAGGGTTTCTCTGGAGATAAAGACACCAAAATTAAAACCATATGCTTCAGAAATCCATACCCCTCTATACTTTTTGGGCCTTCTTTCACTGGCTAGTATTTTCAGAACAATGTATGTAAAGCATCCCTATCATATTCCTGACTTTAATGAGACGATTTCTAATGTTCTACCAATATGTATGAAATTGACTGTAGGTTTTGTGATACAGATGAGTGACGGATATATTCTTCCATTCTTAGTTGACTTAGGATATGCACAAAGCCACACATTCTCCTATAAGGTAAATAATAACTCTTTATATACATTGTCCCTGGTTTTTCTTTCCTTTAAAGTCAGTCAGGATCCCCTAAAACCAACTTGCTGGTTGAGATGCCCAATTCTCCAAAGAGCTCAGGAGCATTTTATTCAACGTATATCAAATTCTGAATGGTTATTCTTTGTGTGTGCGTGTGTCTGTGTATGTGGAGATGGGTTCTCATTATGTTGCCCCATGCTGGTCTTGAACTCTTGGCCTCAAGCCAAGCCTCCCTTCTCAGCCTCCCAAAGTGCTGGGAATATAGGCATGAGTCACCACATCCAGCCTTTGGATGGTCTTCAACTCCCACCCTGGTTCACCTACCTCTTGGTAGGTGATAAAATCAGATCAATCCTGATTTTTTTTTAAGTCTTCCCTTTGCTCTAGTCTAGTAAACCTCTTTGGGCAACAGAAGCCTTACTGGAAAGCTGCTTAGCTATTATTAGATGGTGCTGATGCAAGAGAGTACCTTGCTCTTATGTAATTCCCTTTCTCTGAGAAGCAGCGTCTCCTGGTGAGTGCAGCCAAGGATCTTTTTACCTCAGCTTAATTTTTTTTTTTTTGCAACCCAGTCCAATCTCTCCATTCCATCCTGAGTTCTCACCCCAATCTGATTCATCCACCTTCCTTCTTGACTTCCTTTCATATAACCTGATTTGTTTTCATTCCTTTCTATCTTCCCCTGCACCTCAGCCTCATTCCTTTTCATCCCTTTTTCATTTATTTTTCACTCCATCTTGATTTGATTTCTTTCCAGAGTTGGAAGTCTCCATTTATCTGATTTCACAAACTCTAGCATGCTTTCACAATAACCAACACCATTACATATAAAAACACATGTATTTCGTTATTTACACGTGCTTATACACAGTATCCCAATCTCACAGAGTAACTCATGCTCACTCACATATATACATATACACACACACACACACACATCATCTTATCTATCAAGCTTCCTGGGGTGAGGTCTAAGCTAGAGGCTGTGAGACCCAGGGGTCTCCAAACTTTGGTAACCATACTTGCTAATGAGAAAAAAGAGAGAGAGAGAGAGATGTCCAGAACCTATCCAAAACCTATAGAATTGGAGTCTCTGGAGGTGGGATCCAAGAATCTGCACTTCCATAGGTTTCCCAGGTGAGTCTGATGAAACCAGCCCAGTTTAACACAGCTGGTTCAAAGATGAGCACTTGGAAACCATGAATACCTGCTCACTCTTGGGCAAAAGAGATGCCAGGAGATGCTTTATGAAAAAATACTTCCACTCAAGTTAGTTTAGAAAAACTGTACAACATAACCACCACCACTACCTCCTCCTTAAAGATTCATAATGCCTGGGCGGTGCCTGTGGCTCAGTGAGTAGGGCACCGGCCCCATATATCAAGGGTGGCAGGTTCAAACCCGGCCCCGGCTGAACTGCAACAAAAAAATAGCCGGGCGTTGTGACAGGTGCCTGTAGTCCCAGCTACTCCAGAGGCTGAGGCAAGAGAATCACCTAAGCCCAGGAGTTAGAGATTGCTGTGAGCTGTGTAATGCCACAGCACTCTACCAAGGGTGATAAAGGGAGACTCTGTCTCTAAAGAAAAAAAAAAAAAAAGATTCACAATGCCTATTAAAGGCTCTGAGAAGTTCTGCAAGAAAAGATTCTCCCCACACCACTCCCCAGGCTTTTTATTTTTTTAATTTTTTAAACTGTTTTTCTTTTTATTAAGACAAAGTCTCACTCTCTCACCCTGGGTAAAGTGTCATGGCATCATAGCTCACAGCAACCTTAAACTCTTGGGCTCAAAGGATCCTCTTGCCTCTGCCTCCCGAATAGCAGAGACTACAGGCTTCCACACCACCAGCCTGGCTAGTTATTCTAATTTTAGTAGAGGCAGGTCTCACTCTTGCTTGGGCTGGTTTCCAACTCTAGAGCTCAGGAGATCCATCTGCCTCGGCCTCCCAGTGGGCTAGGATTATGGGCATGAACCACCATGCCCAGCCCTCCCCAAGCCTTTATTTATTTATTTATTTATTTATGTATTTATTTTTTGAGACAGAGCCTCAAGCTGTTGCCCTGGGTAGAGTGCCATGGCATCACAGCTCACAGCAACCTCCAATTCCTGGGCTTAAGCAATTCTCCTGCCTCCGCCTCCCAAGTAGATGGGACTACAGGCGCCCACCACACCGCCCGGCTATTTTTTGTTGCAGCCATCCTTGTTTGGCGGGCCCAGGCTGGATTTGAAACCGCCAGCTCAGGTGTACGTGGCTGGCGCCTTAGCCGCTTGAGCCACTGGCGCTGAGCCTCCCCAAGCCTTTTAAATTCAATGTTTCCCAAACGTTTTAAATCACAAGGACTTTGTTTTCTTTCTCTTTGTTTTGTTTTGGGTTTTTTTGTTTGTTTTGTTTGAGACAGAATCTCAGTATGTCGTCCTTGATAGAGTGTTGTGGCATCACAGCTCACAGAAACCTCAAACTCTTGGGTTTACAAGATTCTCTTGCCTCAGCCTCCCAAATAGCTGGGATTACAGGTGCTCACCACAACACCCAGCTATTTTGTGGTTTGTAGTTGGCCTGCGCTGGTTTGGAACCCACCAGCACCGATGTATGTGGCTGGCACCACTGAGCTACAGGTGCCAAGCCACAAGGACTTTTTTTTTTTCAAAGAACACCTATTAACACCCAGCAAAACAATCTGGTGAGCATGGCTTATCCAAGTCTAAATTCCCCAAGTCCATACAAAGGCTGTGTATCCCGGGAAAGGAACTCTGTAACAGAGCCCACTTCTCCCAAAGCTACCTGCTCAGGGATTGCCTACATCCCTCAAACCATGGCACCATCCTGCACAGAGATGCCTGACAACTGACATACCTCTTTTTTCCCATTTTAGATTCACAACCTTCCCTAGAGATGGTGACCTTTATTTAAACCCATTTTAGAGAAATGTAAACTGAGCCTCAAGAAGTTAACTGCTGGGGGGAAACAATTTTTTCCCCATTTTGAAGTGGCCACTGGGGTGTGTGTATAGGTGAGCGGTTTACGTATCTGTGGAACTGTGGGTTGATCAGATCAGGGCGTCAAACTCAAAAATCCACCATTGTCTCCCCCTCCTGGGTGAGATTCCTGACATGTGGGGACCACTGACTAGATGACCAAGTCCAGTGCAGAACTCCCCTGCAGTGTGACTTCTTATCCAGACTATAACAAGCATGGGGCAAGGGTGGTGGGCGGGGGGAGAAGCAAGGGAGAGAGAAGGCGGCACCCAGTCTTGGTCGCCTCCTGGGGCAGCACCCTGTCCGAGAGGCAGCAGCGGAGGATATGGGCGCGGGCACTTACCGAGTATGCGGATCTGCGTGACAGCCCCGTGCAGGCCGAAGAGCATCCAGAGTGGCTGCGAGGCGTCCACGCACAGCTGCATGCCGCCGGCCGCACCGTTGTGGCTGAGGTGCAGCTCCCCGTCGGCGTTGACCACCAGGCCCAGGATGTCGCCACTGTGCAGGGGCCCGGGCACGCGGCACACGGCCCAGAACTCCTTGCGGTCCACGAGGGCCTCGGGGCTGAAGGGCAGGTCCGCCGGCCGCAGCGAGCTGGGGTCGCACGTGGTGACGCCCACCGACAGCGCGCCCGGCCGAGCGCCGCCGGAGCGCGTGACCTTGATGAAGATGGTCTCGGCCACGCGCACCGGCCGGCTGGTGAAGACGAGCGCGCGGTCATCGCGCCCGTGCTCCAGGCGGGCCACGGTCTGCTCGTCTAGGATGCGGACGTGCGCGCCGGCGCGCAGCGCGTGGAAGCGGAGGTCGCCGTCGAGCTGCGCCGGCAGCGCGCGGCTGTGCTGCGAGTTGAGCGAGTTCTGCGGGATGGGGCAGCCGGCGGCCGGCGTCCCCTCGTCGCCGTCGGCGCCCGGCAGGTTGAGGTCGCACAGGCTCACCGAGAGACGCGCCTCGTCAGCCTCGCGCCGCAGCGACGGCCTCCGTAGTGCGGTGAAGGAGCGCGGCCGCAGGCAGTCCGGGAGCACCAGCTCGCTGTCTGCGCGGGAGAGACACGGCGGCCGTCACCCCCGGCTCCGCCCGGCCGCCCTGCGTTCTAACGCGTGCTAGGTTTTAGGGTGGGCACCGTTAAAATGCCGAGGGTTTCACGGCAAAGAAAGTGCTCGTGACATTAATGCACAACGTCAGGAAGCTGGTGGTGCAGGACATCTAACTGTTAAAGGGAGTGATAAGGCTGGAGATAAAGACACCAAAATTAAAATGTAATTGCTTCTAAATGCTCAGGAGCTTATGAGTACTTTCTCTGTATATGTGTGTATTTTCCTTATTTTCTACAGTAAGTGTGTATTGTACTTTAAACATTTTTTTTAAATGTTCACGCCTGGGGCCCCCAGTTTTATCCCCAGCACCTAGAACGGGGCTGAGCATTCCACAACAGTAAATGTCGAAGACACTGAAGACAGCCTAACACTCTGGGAAGCCAGGGGGAACCGCCCCCCTCGTGTAAATCATCCCACCTAATCCTAACAGTTACCTTTTGAGGTTACCATTACCACACAAGGACACTGAGACTGGGAGCAGTTAAGGAAATTTACCCAAGATATCCTTTGAAAAGTGACTTAACTGGCAATCAAACCCTTTGTTTTGTTAATCATACAGGTAATTAAAAACTGTATTCTAGGCTCGGCACCTAAAGCTCAACTGGCTAAGGCGCCAGCCACGTACACCTAAGGTGCCGGGTTCCAATCCAACCCAGCCTGCCAAACAACGATGGCTGCAACCAAAAAATAGCCAGGCGTTGTGGCGGGCGCCTGTGGTCCCAGCTACTTGGGAGGTGGAGGCAGGAGACTCGCTTGAGCCCAGGAGTTGGAGGCTGCTGTGAGCTGTGATGCCACAGCACTCTACCCAGGGGGACAGCTTGAGGCTCTGTCTCAAAAAAAAAAAAAAAACTGTATTCTATACAAAACAGTTCAGCAAAAAGAAAAATAATTGCCTGGCAGCCCCATCACACAGAGAAAAGCTTTTTTTTTTTGAGACAGGGTCTCACTGACTTGTGTTGTCATAACTTAGTACAACCTCAAACTCAAGACACCCTCTTTCATTAGCCTCCTGGGTTGCTGGGACTGTAGGCATATACCATCACCTGGCTAATTTTTTTTTTCTATAAAAAAGGAGTCTCTGTTGCCCAGAGTGGTCTTGAACTTCTGGCCTCAAGCAATCTTCCCATCTCAACCTTTCCAAGGTCTAGAATTACAGGCATGAGCCACCTCATCTGGCCAGCGCTTCTAATATTTGTGTATGACCTTTCAGCCTTTTTAAAAGGTGCTCTTGTTTGTTTGTTTGTTTTGAGACAGAGTCTGGCTCTGTTACTCAGGCTAAGTGCCAGGGCCTCAACCTTGCTTATGGCAATCTCACACTCCTGGGTTCAAGCTATCTTCCTGCCTTAGCCACCCAAGTAGCTGGAACTACAGCTGCCCACCACAGCGCCTTTTGAGACAGGGTCTTGCTCTTGCTCAGGCTGATTTTGAATTCCTGAGCTCAATCTACCTGCCTTGGTCTCTCAGAGTGCTAGGATTACAAATGTAAGCTGCCACGCCTGGCCTTAAAATGTATTTTTGATTACTTTTTTAATACAAAAATTGAGTCATGCTATATAAATCACCAGTAGCTTTTAACCTTTTATGGCTAATAAATCACTTTGAAAATATCATAACTTTGACCTGTCTCCCCAGAAAAGTACACATTCTCACAAAATTCTGTGGATAGTTTCAGGGTATTCATGAACTATATAAAGCCATCAATAGGCATGGAATCCAGGCTAAGAACTCCACTATACAGATTTCCTTTTTTAACAACTAGCTGTTATAACTTACTATATCCTGAACACCTATCCATGCCTATAACTGTTTCCAACACCATATCCCTCTAATGGCTATGTTATATCTTGCTTTATGGAATCCCATAACTTACAATAAAAATAATCACCAGGTGCCATGTATTACCCCTGCATTTCATCCTTGAAGCAACCCATGGAGGTATTCCCACTTTATAGATATATCTCAGAAATGTTATGACAGGTAACCAAGTGGCAGATCCAGGATTTAAGCAGTCTCCCAATGCCCAGTCTTCACTTCCAGGCCCCCCTTGTTTATCTAATACACACACATACACACACTTTTTTTAAATGTAGAAATGGGATCTTTCCCAGGCTGGTCTCAAACGATCCTCTCACTTTGGCCTCTGAAAGCATACCTCCTTGTTTGTTGAATTCCTTTTTCAGAAGTCAATGTCCCCCAGATTTGGCAAGTGCCACTGTAAGCCACAGCATAGACCAATCCCTTCCTGGACACTTCTCTCTGCACGTCTCCAAGGGAGAATGTGTGCCTTCCCTTCAGGAAATGGGTAAGGAGTACTTCAGAGGTACTCCTGACCAATTCAAGGGTTTTCGTGTATAACAGCAAAGCTTGAAAGATTAGTCTGATAGGGACAGCAGAGCCCAGAATTCAGCTCTAGCTGACTTTAGAGGTGGTTAGTAGTGTCTCCTTCTTTTTGTTCTCTCTGCCTCCTCCATTCCCCTTCTAGGAAGTGTGTTGTCTGGGCTCCAGCAAGGTTTGTATGTGCTGGGTGCTCCACTCACCCTGCAGCTCTAAAGAAGCCTCCTGGGGCCTGGCTGGCTGGGGTTTCCCAGCATCGAGTTGGTGAGGAGGAGGGAGCCAGCTGGAAAATGCGATTATTCCAGGGAATTGACTCTGTGACAGTGATGGTACCGAGAGGTTGGGGGGTGGTGGGGAGGCAGGGGCAGAGGTGAGAAGGATGTAGGCAGGACTGGGAGGTGTGAAAGATAACAATAGGAATCTGGGGAGCACCTATGGGCTGACCTGGACCTGGGGAACAGTCCCTGCTCCCTCACCCCTCAGGGAGTCCAGGCCCTTGAGGACTCCAGAGGGTGGGACACAGAGAGGGGGAGGGGTGGCAACAGCAGGGAGAAGAGAATGCAGAGTCTCCAGGAACAGAGCCCACGTGCATAAAGCCCCCACATTCCCCCGCCTGCACCCTCAGGACAATCAGCCAGGAGGTCCTGGAGCTGGGAAGACCCTCAGCACATATTTCTGAATCTGTCCTCTGCCCCTTCAGGAGTCCTCTTCTACATGAGCATGCCCAGGCAACCGTTCCACTGCTATGCTAATCTGCCTTTTTTTTTTTTTTTGAGACAGAGCCTCAAGCTGTCACCCTGAGTAGAGTGCCATGGCATCACAGCTCACAGCAACCTCCTACTCCTGGGCTCAAGCGAGTCTCCTGCCTCAGGCTCCCAAGTAGCTGGGACCACAAGTGCCCGCCACAATGCCCGGCTATTTTTTGGTTGCAGCTGTCATTGTTGTTTGGCGGGCTGGGTTGGATTCGAACCCGGCACCTTAGGTGTATGTAGCAGGCGCCTTAGCCACTTGAGCCACAGGCGCCAAGCTGCTAATCTGTCTTTTAAAGAGTGTTTCCTCTGGTTACACAGGTTTGTTTGGGGTTGGGGGAGTGCTTCCTTCTCCTAAACCTAAATCTACCTCCTTATATATAACCCCCTGCCCACTGGACTACCTATCAGTCCAGTACTGAAGACAACTCTCCTTAGGGAATACTCAGATGCCCCACACACCTTCCCACCTCTTAGACAATGAACAGACTCAGTATTCCAGAGGTACTCCTGACGAGCTCAAGGCATAGTGTGCCCATCACCTCCCTTGATACATACACTATACTTCTAATAATGCAAACTAAGCCTACTTTAGGTTTTCTTAGTAAGCAAAATTCATATACTGATTGGTAGGCAGGATAAGAGCACAGTTAAGTGCAGTGAATTTGAAGTCTTCAACCTGGGTACAAATCTTGGCTGTGCCACTACCTGTATGACAAGGCTGTATAACTCTGAACAAGTAGCTTAACTTCATGGAGCCTCTCTTTTTCAGCTGTGAAATCAGCATATCTACTCATTTACATAAACTCTATATTTGAATACTCCCCCTTAGAAGGGATGCTGTGAAGATGAAATGGAATAAGGGATATAGGGCACCCAGTAGGGTACTTGGCACATAATAATTAGGTTAATATCAGCCGCTGTTACTATTTACATGCCATATGGTTCAGAAGAAAGTATGTGGGCTTCACAGTGATCTAAGCCTGGGTTTAAATGTCCAACCCAGCCCTTAACTTGGCCTTTGGATAAGCAACTTTCCTCCCAACCTCAAATGATTCACCTAGGGAACAGGAGTAATAATACCTGCCTTGAGATGTGGTTGCAAGAATCAGAAGTAGAGTGGGACACCACTGGCACCCAGAAGGTACCTGATAACTTCGATATTATTTGCCCAAGTTGAGCAAAGTCTCAACCAAAAGTCAGGTCAAGGCCCAGCGCAGCAGCTCACACCTGTAATCCCAGCACTCTGGGAGGCCAAGGCGGATGGCTTGCTTGGGCTCAGGAGTTGAGATCAGCCTAAGCAAAAGACAGACTTCATCTCTAAAAATAGCCAGGTGGTGTAGTAGGTGCCTGTAGTTCCAGCTACTTGGGAGGCTGAGGCAAGAGGGTCACTTGAGCTCAAGATGTTGAGGTTGCTGTGATCTATGACACCACAACACTCTACCCAGGACGACAAAGTAAGACTGCCTCGAAACAAACAAACAAAACAGACAAAAGTCAGGTCAGTCCACCTATACTCAGATCATTGACTTTTTAAACCTTAATGTAGGACTTCACATCAGTCTTGAGGGGTACCCAGTAAATAGTCATTGAACAAAATCACTGACTAAAGACTAGGAAAAAGCAGCTGAAAAGTAGAGATTAGAGGAGAAAAAAGAGAAAGAAGGTGAAACAGTGGAGGATGGGAGAGGGGGAGAAGGTAGTGAGATGACCCCTTTAGTCTTGCTTAAAATATTATTACTGGAGTTGACAAGGGAGGCACAGGAGCCGCTGGGGGACAACTAACATAGAACGAATCCTGGGGCCAGTGCCCAGCCCAAGCATGTTTTCTCTCCCTTCCCCTGCACCCCTCAGGG